ACTTACGTACGCCTACACACACACACAGAAATAAAAAAGAATTCTGCAAAGCGGATACGTAAAGAACGCGTGTGAGCACCCGCTGTTTCGCTCTTGCGTACATTCGACCTCTTTCGAGCTCTCCCTATATATAGGCATACGATCGGCTACCATATAAGGACGCATACAGCCTTGCTGATGCTGACCCACCGTTTGAACGTATCTCTCGAGCCTCTCTCACGATTCCAGAATCGTATTTCATTGGGTCGAAAAACGAAGTCGGCGAACGACTGACGAAAGGCCTATTTTTAATCGCGCTTTCTGCATTGTTGCACATCAACACTCCACAGTCGATCATAATTAAATCTGAAAATAAAATTCTGAAATAAGATGCTAATAGAAACGTAAATATCTTTACGAATTTGCAATAGGTTTATTTTCGCGCAATGTTATTTATCTTACGAATGCTGTTTCAGTAATTTTTTTTTGTTATGCGAGATTGTTTCCCCCGGAATGAAACGACGCAAAAGAAGAAAAGCATGAAATTGATGACTTTGCATTGTGTCACAATCACAACCGCGTACTGATAATGTGGTTAGTAATATCCGATGTTCCCGTGACTTCACCCACATGGAATGCAGACCTTTTCTTACTCCGCGTCTTCTTTATTCGCGCATACAGTTTATTCGCTCATGTGGGTGAATTCGACGCCGTATCGTTGCTTGTTTTCTCATGAACTCCTATGTGGCACAACTAATGCGCAATTTCTTATATGTTTCTATTTTTTTTATTTCAATTTTTATAAGATAAAGTGGTTAATGTTATAAGGAATATAAATATTAGTTTGCACACTAGTTCAGTATCAGTTTAATATTAGTTTATTATAACGCTCGGAATGTGTGCAATCGTTACTTATGCAATGTGCACGCATAAAAAAGTCGATTTCATCATAAAACGCAGAACGACTCGATTGGAAAAGAAGCGCGTAGGAGTTGAACGCCTATCGATACCGACTGCTCACATACATTAATTAGAGCTACGTTCTTTTTTGTGCATTTTTTTCACGTTGTATCAGGTAAACTTTTAAGTCTGCCTGAATGCACATAACTGCTGACGAGTATGGTGATAGAAAGAGGGTGGACGAAGAGGGGTACCAGACGAATGAGTCATTGATAGTTTAATATGTAAACGCGTGACGAGCACTGGATTCAGTATATAAGACGTATATATATAAATATATAAAGGCATGTACACACATCCAGTCCGATGACGCGACAGCGATTTCGTGCCACAACTATCAATTATTTGCAGAGCGAAGTTGGTTTGGTGTTGTCGAATTAAGTTTTTTTTTTTTTTAAACGAAAAATTCACTATCTTACATGAAGAATTTTGAGAAAAATTACATAAGGAATACTTATGGAAAATTTTTTTCTATTGATGTATTTTTTTAGATTTGTCAGCCTTTGTACATTTAAAAAATTATTTAATCATTCATTTCGCGGCAACTTGTAGATATAATTTAATTGTGTAATGTAATATTGTGGAAACACAGTTGTGTATTATGCAGAAAGAAGCGGCGCAAGATTGTCACAAAACGTTTATCAGAGTTCCTGTGGTTGGAATGCGTCATTGTCGCGCATAAATAACGACTGATGAGTGTAGATGAAGCCAATCGTGGTGTAATTCTTTGCATATAAAATGTAAAGTTAAAGATTAAAAGTAATTTTTAAATAAATTAAAATACATTAAAAATATTTTATTCACAATTCTCATTTACTTTAATATAAGTGTGCAAAAAATATAAAACTGTATTTGTGCTTGAATTGTTCCACTAGCATGTCAGTCAGAGTCGGTTGGCCACATGAAATTTTGGAGGAGGTACGCAATAAACGAGAACCGTGTTTATGTGGTTTTTTAAGCCAATCGCCTTATTATATGTGACCAGCCGACTCTAAGTTGCTAAATGAGTTGGGTTGTCCCTCCGTTATTTGTTTTCTCATAAATTCTTTGCGAGCCAGGTCGCACATGCGCTTACGATGACAAGTACCTGAATAGACGCGCAATTTTGGCGGACTCTAATAGACGGGACAGGTTGTAGCAAGAGAAAATTCAAATAAGCTTAATATTCTTATTTTTTATTTATTATTTTAATATCTTCTCTTTAACTTATCTTCAAATATCTATATCAGTGCTCGGCACGATCTGCACATTTCGGTCAATTTTCGTAAGCTAACGCCTATCGTCTTCCTACTGCGTCTTGAAACAACACGCGCGGCGCTCAGCCTTAGGTACGACGCATCTGTAAAGCCCGTGTCACACTACGTATTGCGGACGCGGATCGGATCGGGATCGCGGATCGGATCGGGATTGCGGATCGTGGATCGGAATTCAGTCAATCAAGACGAGGCATAAGAGTCTTGATTGGCTGAATTCCGATCCGCGTCCGCAATACGTAGTGTGACACGGGCTTAACGCGATGAGGTTCCGTGTCCCCTGACTGCTAACTATCAATGTTTTAAACGCGATCTTTAAAATCTTTTTTTTTTAATAATTCAAATAATAACAAAGTTTTTCTTTTCGATTATTACATTTATGATATGATAATCCTAAAATATTATTAAATTGTATTCGATAGATTAGATTTGTTAGATGTCCCAGAGACTTACATAACATAAATAAATAATATCCATGAGTATTTCGTGCTTTTAATAAAAAATATCATTAAACTTTAAATTTACAATTATTTATTAATTTATAAATCGGGAAGAGAGAATCTCTTGCGGTCCACACGTTTATAATACGTTATTGTGCAGGATCTGGATTTGGTGAGATTGGAGAAGTTAGAGGGGATGGAGAGGCAAACTAGCTCGTTTGACATCTGAGATATCACCGATTGCCAGCGTTACCAATTCTTGTCCTATGTTTCCCACTGAAATATACTAGAATAGATACTAGAATAAGCACTGAGTTGCCTAAAGCGTGCGGGAATGGAGGGGATTCCCGAACAGCCTGTCTTTGTCGTAACTTGCCTGTTCCGAAATATCTATCTATCTCTGTCCACGGGCCGCTTATGCGCCACTGCCTCTTTCAGTATACTTAAATTTCAACGGAGTTTCGCACACAATCGAGGGGCCATTTTCAAAGGCAGAGCGCTCTGCGCAACACTCCGGGAAACCCAGGACAAGAATTAGTAATGCTAACTACTGGCACCCTTGTCACTTATAAGTATAGGCGTAGCCAGGGGTGGAGGGGGGCATTTGCACCCTTTCCCTTGTCGCAGAGAAAAAATAATTATGAAAATCATAAATATAAAAAAATGCACCTGATACATTACAACCTAGATTCCACAAATGAAGCTAAAGTATATGTTCTGCAATTAAAACCAATATATTAACAATCCTAAAAATTAATGTATATAACGAAAATTAAATTAATTAGTAATTGACCACATTCGCGAAGACTGGCTTTAGTATAAATATTTTAATAAGCATTTTTTTTTGTGAAGATAAATCTAATAAATCCATTTAAAATAATAATAAAATTTGTTTCAAGATAAATTTTTACCCGCCCCTAAATAAAATCCTGGCTACGCGCATCCTTATAGGCTCATAGGCAGGCCACTTTTTTGCGCATGCACGACTTTTTGACAACTTGATTGGTCATTTTTTCGTCTTTAAATGATTTCTACCATTAAGGCCATTACATGTAAAGCCAGCGGCACACGGTTCGTTTTTGTTCACTGGATTGATTGCGAGTTAGTAAAATACTAGAAATGCACCATACAGCATACAGTATTTTTAGTAATTTATTAGCTCACAATCAATCCAGTAAGCAAAAACGCACCATGTGCCGCTGGCTTAAAAAAAGCGTTTAGGCTTAATCGTAATGACTTTTGCATACTGGACGTGATGGATGATGAGCGATGAGCGATGAACGATGAGCGATGAGCGATAAGCGATGAGCGATAAGCGATATCCAATAAGAGTTCTATTTTTTCGGAAAAATAAAGCTTTATATTTTTGTTTGTGCGTTGACTGAAGTTCAAGTTTATGTACGGGTTTAGGTTTATAATCAGTACTTAACGTAACGTAACACGTTACGGAGAAGCTTGTGCAGTGGCTCTTAGGTTGATGGCAGAGAACAAGACTTATCGGTTCAAGACAATGTTTTATGTTTTAAGTTTAACGCACAATAACGCATGGTAATCACTAAGCTCTAACATACTGGAGAGAATCTTCTTATAAGAGCCAATATGTAATTTTCGGGTCAAAGAGAGCAATAGTAGCTGAGGAATGTCTGTACTCTTTCCATATTTACATTGCGTATTGGTGGAATGAGACAGATTATATTAAGAAAGACATTAGACTCTCTCTTTCTACAGTGATAGAAAGAGATAGTTTATTTCTTTATCTTTCTTTATCACTCCTTCAAGGCTCACTAGTATATTATAGATGAAGACTGTAGTAAAGAACTGCTAGATTAGTATACTGCGACTTCACGTATACAAGCGAAAATCGTATACATGTGATGCGAAAAACGCTCTGCGTTTTGTGACAATCTGTGTCTGATGAAGAAAGTGAATATAAGTCAGTGCTTAAGACGATTTCGAATATACGGACTATGAGCGGTATTCATAGTCCGTTCTTATATTCAAGATCGTCTTAAGCACGAACTTATATTCGCTCTCTTCGTCAGACACAATCTATGTGTGACGAAGAGAGCGAATATAAGTCCGTGCTTAAGACAATTTTAAATATAAGAACGGACTATGAATACCGCCCTATGAATATTGGCCAAAGAAAAATGAACAATCGCATTTACATATTCATTGCTGGCTGCGTTCTGAAATTCACTGTCAGTACTAAAAATCTATATACAATATACGTAACATAAACTATAGATTTTCAGTACTGGCAGTGAATTTCGGAACGCAGTTACAAATCAACAATATATATTGATAATTTCACGTACTTTTTAGGTTACGTTTACAACTTTCCACACGAAGTGAGATTTCAACTCAAATTTATGTGTATAGTTTATCGATGGCGGAGCCTCCCCGTAGGGGAGGCGGAACCCATTAGGTTTCCACCAGTGATGCGATGTTTCCTACCGGGCTGTCGGCTTTCAAGTTCCATACAAGCGAGAAGCGCATACATATGCTGCGCAGAACGCTTTGCGTTCATATATACACTTTTAAGCATATGTTTTAAGTATATGACAGCTTTCTTAATCTGAAAACTAGTCAACTTTAACGATTAATATCTCGCTTCGTGGGGCAGAGCGACACTTTTTCTGTCAGATTCTTTCGTTTCACGCAAAAACACGTCGAATAAGCATAAATTTATAAAAATTGGAGGTGAATCAGCGTTACTAAATAATTACCAAGGGACCGCATGAATAAGAAGTGTGGATTTATAAAATTTGATTGTTTTGACTGTGTCCATATTTGCACGATCTTGCAATTATTTCCATCTTACAGAAGGAGTATAAGGCTGAACCATGTCGAGTCCATCGTTGAAGGACCTGCCAAAAGTAGCTCTAGACTTGAAAAGCGAATTGGAAACCTTTAATCATGGTTGTATGAAGAAAGCCGCCACTGCTGAGAAGAATGTTTTACCCTCTGCCGAAGGTATGTGAACATAAAAATATATCTTAATTTTATAAAACGATAGGAACAAAATGAGTCAGACACATGTGTATATTAATGGTTTTTATAACACAATACAAGTTTGTTCGCATTAATATCTGGCTCATTTTGTTTCTATTGTTTTATAATTTCATTATTTGTTCAGCCATTTTTAATTTTACTCGAGATTAATCTTCGTTGAATTGAGATTAAATTTCGTTTATTTCATTTTTATAACTTTTTTGTAATGTGTTTGAGATTCAAGGAGTTTACTTTATAGTAATTTAAGGAATATACTGTATAGTATAACTAATATAATATTTTTTTATTATGATAAAAATTCTTATGAATTCTTATGAATTTTTATGAATCTTGTATTCTACACTTCACATAAAACTTAAATACAAGTCTAGATTCCGCATCTGCATTTAGCGTTAAACCTAGCTACATGGATTTCAATCTTTATCAAATTTACTAAATCATATAAGACACATAATTCGAGCACGTTTAGCGCTAAATACAAGGTGCAAGGAAAAATTGAGTTTGCTCGTACAAATTGTCAAACTAAAGGAAGCGATTTGAGCGGTGCGGAGCTCCAATAAAAACGACTGCAGCTGCAATAAAAATGTGTGAATTGCTGACGTAGACGTGCGACAGGAGCGGCAGCACTCTGAGTTGATACACGGTTTGGAAACCTTTAAGACAGATCAATTGAAGCACGCCGACACGAAAGAGAAGATTGTACTGCCTAATGCCAAAGGTATCGCTCCTTAAAATTGTGTGGGGGACTTCTGGAATTCTGGCATTGCGATAAAGAGTTTTCTCTTGACTCTTTCCTGGTGGCAGTGGCAGTCGCTTTTGCTTTACGGAAATCGCTTGCACGCAAAGCTTTGTCTTAAAATGAGGATGAAGAAATAATGTACTGGTCGATTTGACGATGATACTAACTTCTGGGCTCACTTGGAATCTTACGTTGCACACTTTTTATTGTACGACTTTACAAGGCAAAATAATAGCAGAATTTAGAAAAATACTCGTGTAGTATTTACACAAGGCTTTCTAAATTCTTTCTATCTTTTATTTTATACGGATTCCTTTATTTAATTTGTAACTGCTTCAACAAAAATGTCCAAGTACCAAGAGCTTTCGAGTTACAAATCACGTAAGAATACAAACGATTGCAATATTATCAAAGATAGTCTGTCATTAATTAACTTTTATGATTTGAAAATCTTACTGAAAGTCTTCTAAGGGTCAAAATGGTTACAAATTAGATCTGTAATTTAATTTAGGTGTTCTGGGACATTTTTGATATAGCAAAAAATTGATCAATATTTATATATAAATTTATATTCCTGATCAATAGATCAGGAAAATAAATTTAAAAACTCTATTTGATCATAAATTCCTCATTAACATTGCATATTCATTACATAAAATTTGTATATATTTGTAAATTTAGTAAAAAAAATTCAATTGCTTGACAATTTTAACTTTAAATCAAATACAACGTGTGATTTTGCCTTGTGAAGATGCGTGATCTTTAACTGACTGTGTAAAGTATTAATAGTAAGTTCCTTATAAAGAAAGAGTGAGGACGGCAAACAGTACTAGTCGTTGATTAATCGTGTCGCTTATCGATCACATGACGTATAAATCGTATAAATAAACATTGACTTTATTCCTCTGCTCTCAAGCTAGATGTTGGATACCACAGTCCAGCTATCTAGCAAGGTGACACGTTTTTCCATTTCTAGTTTTCCTGCTTACATGTAATTATTCATCGCTATTTCTAAAATCGATTGGCCTACTTTCAGATGTTGCCGCGGAGAAGACCCAGCAAACGCTGATTGCCGGCATTGAGAAGTTTGACACCGCAAGTCTGAAACACACTGAGACCCAGGAGAAAAATCCATTACCTGATAAAGATGGTAAAGACTTTGAAATTATTTGTATAGATAGAACGAATTTAATATAAATTAAAATTAAGCAATAATTTATCTTGTATAATTTTTTGATCTTTACAAACATAAAATTGTAGATTAATCTCTCTCTCTCTTTTCTTGATTAAATTATACAAGTAAACCAACTTAATAAGTGAGAATTAAAATTTAATAGTAATTAATATTTTGATAATCAAATTAATCTTAATAAAATACAAATTTGCTAATTTTTTAGAAAAATATTGAAATAACAAAAAGGTTAATAAATGAGTATAAAAATATGAGATTGTACATATAAGATTGTATATACAGGATGTCCGGTAACTCACGGACCAACGCTCGTGAGCGTATAGAGCACATTAAACAGAACAGAAAAGTTCTTTACTATTTTGCAATTCTCGCAATAATTATTTAAGTATTAATTAAAAAAGATTTCCGAATAAGCGCGCAGCTAGATGATGTTATTGTAGGCTTCTGCCCGCTTGCTATTGTTCGCACGTCTGCATCTGCGTCTGCGATTTGTCACGCGACCAAACATTTCGTTGCCGTGCGACGTGCGATTTGCCGCTGGCACGCCTACAGTTACATTACCGGACACCCTGTGTAATGTATAAGAAAAATGTATAAGATTACATAAAGATTAATGTATTTTTATACATTTGCTTTATGAGAAATATATTTATATTATATAAATATTCTTCTGTAGAATGTGACGTTTTCAAGTAGACATAAAAAGCTACTTATTTATTACAGAATAATAAGTAAAATAATACTTTATTATGTTTTAAATAATTATTTATGATATATTTATAAAATAATAAAATCATATTACTCATTGCACAGTGATTCAGCAAGAAAAGGGGAAACAACAACTGATCTCTGGTATCGAAAACTTTGATCCAGCGAAGTTGAAGCATGCAGAAACCCTTGAGAAAAATCCTTTGCCCACCAAAGAAGGTTCATATACTTTCTATTCTCATTCTTGAATCCGAAATGTGATATATGGTGTATACTGACACAACATTATTTGTTTCAGCGATTGATGCTGAAAAGATAGCCGCTTAGAGAAGCTGCCGCACGAAAAGGAACGCAGGAAAGAAACAGGGATGGTGCGACTTGTCGCTTCTTCCATTTTCTATATCCGTGACATTTTATAACAATTATTCATACATTGCCAAGGAAAAAAAGCGTGAATGCCGAAGCACTGTGTTAGTCGTAATATATTATAATTATACTTATCCTATTACTGTTACTGGCTTCTTTTGGCGAGTTCAGAAGTTACGTCAGAAGTTAAGTATCGAAAGACTTTTGATTCAAAACGTCCAATGTTGAATCATGCGGTTGATGACGATATCGCTGCTACTCGCCTCGAGAGATAATTTGGCAATAATTAGACAATGACGAGAATAAAAACAGATATAAACCCTTCTATCTGTAAGATACAGCTCCTAGCTGTAAGCTTTTTTCTAACTTGCTTCTTGCAGTATCTATTCTTTTTTGTTGCTAAACACGAGACAAATATTATTTCTATAAAGCAGTCACTTAAGTGAAGCTGCTCAACTTGGGAGAAATTTGTGACAAAAAAAGAAAAAAAGATTAGTAAATAGAGCAAGTTAGAAATTTTATTTTATGAAATAAAAACTCAGATCGAAGGACCACAGAGTATTGCGCGGAATCGTCATCTTGTCGAAGAATGTAGTTCTTTTTTATACTGAAGGCTGCACATGCAAATATTCGTTATTTTTGAACAGGCAAAATTGTCTACAGTATTGCATGCTGCGTTACAGGAAACATCGTGGAAGCACACACAAACACAGTGGTCAATCTTATGTAAAAATCATATTTTATATAAACGGGCTATTGTACTTTTTTAATATTTCGTATACATCGCATTGTCATTCCGATAAAATTACGAGAAATAAAAAAAAATAATTTGTACAAAAGCTCATTGGTGTCTATTCTTTTTCGGCCCTAGCTAAAGTTTATTAATTTACGAAGGATTTTTATTTTAGGAATTGATTGAGGAATCAGTCACATTTAGAATAGAATGCAAGGTATGAATATTATTATTATTAAAATTAATAACGGAAAATTTTCATTCTGAAACAGTATCAAACACAATATCCAAAACTGAGCTTTTCAAGAATAGATTAAAAATCAGATTTAAAACCTAGATTTGTAAAATAACAGTATTAACTTCTTATTAAACAAAATTGCGATTTTTTTTAAGAAATAATTCTATTTATTTTTTCAATATAAGAAATATATATTATGAACATGATCGAATAGAATTTATGTGTAAAATTTTATGTTGATCGAGAACGATTCAGATATTCGCGCGAGAGAGAGATCACAACTTACGAACTATCTTTGTTCTTCACAGTGCTGCTAGGGTTGATTTTGTAACATGCGCTGTAGTGAAAAATACAAAAAAAACAAATTTACTAGGTTATTATTGACCAATAAGATCATAGATACTTTAGTAAATTTGCTCACTTTTTACACAGAGATTGAAGAGAGCGAATATAAAGACCAATATCCAGAAATCAGTCCAATATTTCGATTTGAGAAACATATAACCAATAAAAATTGCCGTTTTTCCATAAAAACTACAAGTTGATTGGTTATACATTTCTCGAATCGATTTCTAGCATCGTGGACATTAGTCTTAAAAAGACTTAACTAGATAGTGTAGAGAGAAAAAAGTGGCTTAGCTTACACTAAATAGCTTAGTTTACACCGATTGTTTAGTACGCGTCCAAGTACTAAATCTGCATCTTTGATAGGTATAAATCGTTTAGTGTAAAATCTACACCAATCAAAGAAGCTGATTTAGTACTTAGTACGCGTATTAAACAATCGGTGTAAACTAAGCCAGTGAAAATGTTCCGGTTCGCCGGTTCCGATTCGTAGCCGTCTTGAAATTGTAAATAACAGACAATGACAGATGATGAGACGAAAAGACGAAAAAACTTTACACACTTATTAAGCATTAACACAATTGAACATAACACTATGGCCGGTATTCATAAGCCGGTATTCATAGTCGTTTCTTATATTTAAGATCGTCTTAAGTCGTCGTCATCGTCGTCTTAAGATACTAATATGGCTTTTTGATTGGTTCATAGCATTTTAAGACAAAACTTAAGACAATCTTAAATATAAGAACGGACTATGAATACCGGCCATAGTCCTTTCTTATATTTAAGATTGTTTTAAGAATTGTCTTAAAATGCTATGAACCAATCAAAAAGCCAAATTAGTATCTTAAGACAGTACTTAAGATAATCCTGGAATAAGAACGGACTATGAATACCGACCTATATTGGTATGTACGAATACTTAAAGTGGCGACGAAATGTTGCAAGTTATTTTATTCAAACCTTTGCTAATCTGGCGCCACGCGGAACATTTTTTATCACCACTTTTAATCTGTGCAGATGAATCTTCTTATTCTTACTTCGTGGTGGAGACGATGCAATGACGTCATTCATCAATCTTGGATCGATCAATTCGTATATCGAAAACGCTAAAATATTATTCTATCCTTCTTGGCATTCAATGGAGTAACAGAAATAGAATGATACTTGTGTCGCTTGTATCCAATGACAGTGAGCGCTCTGTTGTATCTGCTGAATGCGCTCAAATATAATTATAAATGTTCAATTTGGCGCGCATTGTGTAGTTATTAATTTTGACATTACTAGATCGACCTTATTGCACTATTGCTGTATAAAGTTGAACGGATTTATTTTTCACTCTGCAAAAGTGTATTTTGTCACTTGAAAGGTGTTGAATATCCGTGTAAATGTCATTATCGAATACAGGGGGCGAATTTGCGAATAGCATAATTCGATATGATTAATATCGATATCAATCGCTTATATTATCGATTATAACGATCTTTCGAGGATCATAGAAAAGAATGTGACTGAATGCGACAAGTTGTTTGGAAGGGATTGTCGATGTATCTTGTGTTAAGAAGAAGTGGTCATTGAGTATCGGTGACGTTGTTTGGTAAGAGCTTAAATCGAAAGGTAAGAATAATAAACACTTTCTTAGGAATGCTCATGCAAGATCAGTTTTTTTTAGTTTTTGATTAAATTGATGTTTTTCGGCTTCGTGTTTCATAAAGGATTCGGTTTCAGGTTTGGAGGGAGCAAATATTTCTTTTACAAAGATTCTCTCGACCTTGAATTTCACAAAGACGGAAGAAGTATAAGAATTCGCTGACGATAAACAAACGCGATTGTTTCTTGTTACTAGAGTCGTTCGAAATGTATATTTAATATGCAAAAATTTTTATATCCATTGTCTATAACCATGATACTATCTGCATCTTGTAGCAATAACTCACTCAAATCAATTTCCATTAACGTCATATATTTTAC